TTCTTTGGGATTGGGATGTAGACTGATCTTTTCCAATCCTCTAGCCACTGCTGAGTTTTCCAAACTTGCTGGCATATTGAGTGTAGCACCTTAACGGCATCATCTTTTAAGATTTTTAAATCTTAAAGTGGCAGTATAGTTTGAACTGAAAAACAGCCTGGCAATCACCATGATACAGATTCTAAACAGACAAACTTACAAAGCACTAGCCACTAGCCACAGATTTCCAAGTCCTTGTCTGAATAAAGACCTGAAAATTTAAGACCCAACAATACCTCCTGAAGTAAGAAGATTGAGATAATAGCCTTAGGAGTATTCCCTTGAGCTAGTAAATTTATATGGAACAAAATCTTAGTTCAACCCAGACAGAGTTCAGAAGTTTCTCTTGACAGATCTTCACCAGCCAAATGGGCAGGGAGGAATCCCATAGGGAAGCAGACACGCCATGCTAAGTAGAATTGCAGTTGAAGCTCTGTTGGTGGAGTCCTCTCTTTCATTTGAACTTTTAAAAACAGAAGTTTGATGGCTGTCTACCAGGGATGCCTTAGATGTGAATTTCTTGCCCTGGCAGGGGTGTGTGTGTGAACTCAATCAACCCAGGAGATCTCTTCCAGAGCTGCAACTCCATCTTCCTTACCATAAATTCATAGAAAAGTGAAGTTGGAAGGGACCTACAAGGCCATCAAGTCCAACCCCCTGCTCAACGCAGGAATACCAGCCACCAATGTAACAGTATAACTCCCTTTGATTGAGGAACCCAGGCAGAACAAGGATTATAGGACTGCAGAGGAACTGGTGGTGGCTGTATGTTGGGCTGGGCCTGAAGTTGAGGTATTGCAGGTTGTAAGATCTGGAGTGATGATGAAACAGTTTGCTAGAAAACAGGAGTCCAAGAATCCAAAATTTACAGCTTGGCCAGAAAAATATAATTGGGGGGGCAGTTCTTGCTGAAAGATTTGCTGAAATTGAGATGCATTACATCTATGGCACTTCCATGTTCCACTAAGCAAATTAGATAAAATCCAGTGGACCAGAGCAATCATTCCTCCCGGCCCAGGGACTCCATGTTGCTCTAAAACACCATACCTGGTTGCAAGCCTTTGGGAATGAACAGGGCCAACTGCCTCACCCAGCTGTGTCTAGATAATGAATAGCACAGCCGTCAGTCTTGGCATGAGAGAAGAAGCAAAGGAAAACTTAATGGGAGGCTGAGTTCCCTTGGAGTGAAAGGCTAGAGGTACAGAAGTGGAGGACAAAGTCTGAGTTCATCTAACTCCAACTTCTAGCCCTCCCAAACATTGCTAAATGCATAGGTATCCCCTTCTGCCAGGCACATCTGAGCTCCATCTTTGGATCCCCACAACAGAGCAGCAGTTAGCTCTAATTAATTAACACTCTAAACTTGGCAGCAGAAGAGCGATAGCTATTAAGAGCACACCAAATTAACTGCACACTCTAAATGATGGTGGAACTTAATAAAACCCCGCCAAGACATATAATATTGTATAAAGTGAGGATCAAAAAAAGCAGTGACAATTTACGAGTGGGGGAAAAGAAACAATAGCCACAGAGGAGCACCACTCCCTGTTCTCAGTACAATGATTTAAAACAAACAGAAATAAAAAACAAAAAACAAAAAAAAGCAGTTATGGTATTGAGATGGGATGTCTCACATTCTCTCTGGCTAAACTGACAGTGACAGAAGTGACTCATTTTTACTCTATGAGTGATGTGACCACTGCCACCACTGCGTATACTCACTCAGTCCAAAACAGAGCCTGAATGCCTCTGTTAAATGAAACAAATACTGTATCAGTATTCGCAGTATATGTGTTAACAAACCAAACGATACCCACTCAACACCACCCAAAGGGGGATCCCCTCTGGTACTCCTCTCTGTGTGGGAGAACACTGCTCAAGGTCCCTAACTGTTATCTGTCGTCAGTGAGAGCAAACTCTCCTGGCAGAGGCAGCAGCTGCCAGGGGGGTGGGGTCGGGTGACTCCCTCATTCTGCCTTTTTCCCTTAGAGTTAATCATACTTTCAAAACCTTTCTCCGGCCAATCCTAAGTGGTGATTAGGTAACTAGTGTCCTATCTGAAATCTTTCAACAATCTGTGTAAGCTTGCTAAGGTTAATAAAAGAGTTTTCAGGGCATCACCTTGGGGGCTCCGCTGGGGGACATCTGCATGTCGACTTCTTGGTTTTCTCTCTATCAAAGGCTAATTACCTTCTATTGTTCTGTGATCACCTACATCTGTGGGCAATGGAACACGGCCTCTGGCAAAGACCTCTGAATTTAACTGCCTTTTCTTTATGCGCACTTCATTGGGATCACCCTCAAGCATCCATATGAAGACAACCTTAAGCAGCTGTCATTGCTGGGGGCCCAAGTAATTGAGGGCAATGCCTCCAATGGAGGTGCCCATAGTAGAGCTAAATGTGTATTTGTTGGGAACTATCTGGGGATGGTGGTGCTGTGGGTTAAACCGCAGAAGCCTCTATGCTGCAAGGTCAGAAGACCAGTGGTCGTAAGATCAAATCCACACGACAGAGGGCCCTCCCATAGCTTGTCCCAGCTCCTGCCAATCTAGCAGTTCGAAAGCATGTAAAAATGTGAGTATATAAATAGGTACCACCTTGGTGGGAAGGGCACGGCGTTCCATGTCTAGTCATGCTGGCCATGTGACCACGGAAAATGTCTACAGACAAACACTGGCTCTATAGCTTGGGAGTCAGGGATGAGCACCGTGCCCTAGAGTGAGACATGACTGGACTAAACATCAAGGGGAACCTTTATCTTTACCTTATCTGGGGATGGAAAGGTCTGATCCAAAATTCCTTTATTCCTTTCAGAAAAAAACCTATAGTTTTTTAAAATCATCATACAATAAACCAGAACACTTACAGCAGAGATGGTGAAAGTATGGGCTCCAGGTGTGGGTGGCCTGCCACTCTCAGCACTGGTCGCACTTGATTAAACTGATGAAGATGGCAGTCCTGCAATATCTGGAGAGCTACAGGTAGCCCATCCCCATTGTAGAGCATTGCCTGTCACAAATGTACAGAGTTCAACAGGAATGTCTCTTGGGAGACATTTCATAGATGTATTCATTGACATGAATGGGACTTAACTGATTGAACTGCATTGACGGATGAACTGAAAAGAAACCTTGTTTGCCTGGCAGCATTTTATCCAGGTGATGCAGAGCTAATTTGAACCACTGTTTGCCTCACATGGGTTGAGACACTTAGCTCCCTGCAGTGAACGACAAGAGTTTAACTGTCTAGTTTTATATTTTCTTCCTATTGCATAGAATTCTTCCTCTTCATTCAGCAGTCTCAGCATCTTTTGATTTGATGTTACATGACTCATCCTTGCCGTTAAAAAAGAGAAAGAAAGAGAGAGGGGGAGGGAGGGAGGGAGGGAGAGAGAGATGGATAGCTGTTGCAGGCTTTCCTCTGAAGGACACCCACTCATGTTTAATAACAGTTCAAGCAACCTCGCCACAGTTCTATTTTTGTATTAGCTGCAAATTGTCCCTTTGAAAATGCATCGCTATAAAGAGAGTGATTATGAGACCACAAGGATGCCTCTCCTTCCCCCACCAAAGTCTCCCACAATGCATTGCAAGACACATGTGGCCCTTTGTCAGGGCAGCACAGCCATAGGTTGGACTGTTGTATTCGAACAGGACTGTAAGGCAGGGTCTGGATACAAGCCAATGAAAGGAGGAAGAGGAAAGGATACAGAAACACTAAATAATTATTCCGTCAGCATTGCCATTACAGGGTTTCTGGGAACAGGCAGCTCAATGCTGGTAGAACAGGGCTGAGGACAACAGACAGAACTGTAGGGCTTGAAATCCGGTCACTGCCGGTCGCTCCTCTGCGCCATCGAGTGCAGCAATCCACACTGAGTGGGGCCCTGTCCTCTTCCCATGTGCTTCTGTCTGCCTGAATACTCAGGTCATGAAACAATACTCAGCTAGCTGAAGTAATCTGTGTAGAAAAATCATGTATCTTTGGTAGCTTTTTAAAAAAGTGACTTCCGTCTCACTGGCCCAGGTGTTGGGCTGTTCATATCCTAGAGGAAAAAGGGAATGATAGTGAAGAGGCCACACGTTTTATTGAAATGAGACAGCTCTCCATTTCAAATTGATTTGCTTTTGTATGGAACAGACTGCAGTCTATCTTCCCTTCACTGACCTTTTAGCATTTGACATTGTTTGATCACATGTATTTGTTCTCTCAGGATATCTTAAATTCCAGTTTTTAGGGACACTAACTGTGGAGACCCTGAATCATGGGAGTAACTGAGTTAGGTGGTCTCTATTTTCATTTCCCCCCTACTAAGACCAGAGTTCCGGTCATAGTTTTTGTGTGATTTTGGACACTTTACAGTGCAGTGTTGTAAGACTTTTGTTTTATCCCAATTGTTAATATTTTCCTTTTGTTTACAATCTCTTCTCATTTTCCATTCATGTTGCTGCTGGATGGAATGATACAGCATACGCTGCATACACATTCTGTAATAATACAGAATTCTAATAGTAGAAAAATATAGTAGTCTTTCAGAACGTCTGCCTCAGTATAAATCCAGGGTACCAGGAAGTAGCAGTCTATCATCTATCAGTGGGACTTGGAATCTATGAAAATTATGGCTCTATGCATACCTCTTTGATTCAGTTTTCCTTATAGATTGGCAAAGGTACTCTATTCCAGTTGCTAAGTGATTGCCAGAAAAAAAATTGTGATTGGATTATGAAGGTGTTGGATCAAGTTATTTGTAAATTATGGGGGAAATAGCACATCAAGCTCTTATAAATTATCTTGGTGCTGCACCTTCACCTATGTCTGAGTAATCACTGGGAAGACCAAAGACAGTGCGTGATGTGGAACCACTGCTGGAAGATCACTGTGGGGATCATGACTCCATTTTGGTCCTGCATGAGATTCATGTTTTTCCGGTTGTTCGGTCAGTATCTTCTTGTGGCAATGATACTGTACTCTGAGTCTGAAGGTCTTTGCACAGCCCTGTCCCATTCAGGTTGAGTTGTCTTGAAGAGGAAGGTGAGCACAGGAACAAGGATACAGGGAGAAGATTTGTAGGAAAGGTGTGAGACAGGGGAGGAAAAAGGAAGAACAGCTGGGGGGGGGAAAGGTATTTTTTGCAGGAAGATAGAAGAGCAGGATATTAAACTAGCTACAAAAAACCTTAATTGAATTTAAACATAACAGTTCCATATGAAATTGGCTCGTTTTTTTTAACGATACCAGATTGAGTCTCTGAGCGATGCACAGGGAAGGAGTGGGGAGATCAGTAGTGGTGAAGCTATTATGAACATAACAAGACATGTTGCTTTCAAATAAAAGGTGAAAAAGTTTTGAGGGGGGGTGAAGGAGGAAGGGAGGAGGAGGAACAGTCTGGTAGTGGTTTGCAAGGGTTAGGCGTGGCAAACGGGCAAGGTAATGGGCAAGCAGGCCAGGTGGGTGGTAAGAGGGAGCGGTGAAGGTTTGGAGTGAGGGGTGGGGTACTGGACACGGGTGGGGAGAAGGGGGTGGTGGAAGGGTAGTGGTCTAAGACTGAAAATACTTGCCCTTCAATTTGCTTGGTACTGTGTGAATCCATCAGAGAGAGAAAGCAAGAAAAAACAAACAAAAAACAGAAAACAAAAAAGGGGGGTTGGGTGGAAAGGGGAAGGGGTACAAACAATATTTTATTCAATTGCTGTTTGAATAAAAATATTGTGTATCATAATCATACTGAAAGGAAACCTCTTGCAAAAACGACATGAAAAAGAAACAAAAAGTAATAAAGAAAAGTACCAATAAAAAGGCCACAGTAACAAAAATAATAAAAAATATAGATATAACTAGTATAGATATATATTATATAACCAACATAAAAAATGAAATTCAGTAGAAAACACTTTGCAACAGTCTTGATATAGAAATGTTCTTATTAAGTTAGCAGACCATGCAAAAGTCAAGATTAACAAAGGACACACACCAAGATAGAGATAGAAGGAAAGAAAACCAAGGGTCAGAGGAGAGGATTAGGGTGCGGTGGAGCCAAGTCTCTGTGTGAAATGTGTAGGGTGTGACTGTCTTCAGTGAGTGGATCTAGGGTGCAGAGGGACCTTGGGAGCAGCCCTGCTCGGAGAGAAGGCTCGGCTTGATTTTAATGGTTGTTAATCCTCATCTTCTGTTGCAAATAAAGCCATTTTTCGCATTATATTATATGGGGTTATATATCCATTTTATATGTTAATTTATTTATTTATTTGATTTATATCTTGCCTTTCTCCCAGAACTGGGACTCGTGTTTTATGCAGACTGTGGCTACTAAAAATAAAATAAAATCACAGTGATTCCAGAAAGGCCAGTAGCAGCAGCAGTGGCTAAGTTGGAAGAGGCCACATCAGCTTTTTAACGTGAATATGGCATTCAAGAGAGGGGCTTTAGCTCAGTGGGGGAAGCATATGCTTTGCATGCAAAAGGTCCCAGGCTCAGTCCTTGGCATCTGAAATGTTGCAATGCCACAATCAGCCAGTGTAGTGACAATAATACTGAGCTGCATAAACTATTGCAGGTTACTCTGATCCAGTCTTCAGCCAGTTAGGTTGGATTATGCCTGCCTGGCCTGTACGAGCTGCCTGTTTGGCTTTGTTACAATGTTGATGGCGCTCCTCTTTTTGGTCCTATTGCTAAACTTGAATAAGTCAGCTCTAGCACATGACAGAGGAGAGCTATTCTTGCATGTCTTCGGCTATACCATCCATAAGTGCATCTGCTCTCTATTCTACACCACATACAGAAATCTTTTCAGGAGGTCACGAGACTACTGAAAGACAGTGACCTCAGCAGGATCTCACTAGGTGTTCATGAGAGATTTTACCACACACAGGAAGAAAATAAATGACTTTGTAAAACACAGAAGAAACGTAATTAGACTCATACGCGCTGGTACAGCCACTTGTAAAGCTGTGTCAAGTCAGAAAATATGTGTGGGTAGGATGCTCTTCCTTATGAAAAAGTGAAAAATTAGCAGCTAAAGGAAAAGGCTTTTCTCTTTTACTTGGTAAATTTCTGTTATTAAGGTTTTTTTTTCTACAAAAGCTGTTGTAGTGCAATCCTGTACATGCATGCCTTCTACTCAGACTTAAGTCCAATTAATATCAATAGGGTGTACTTGCAGGTCTGAAGAAGTGGACTTGTCCAAGAAAGCTCACATTAAATTGTATAGCAGTTAGTCTTTAAGGTGCCTCAAAGTATTTGTGTTATGTACTTTTTCTTTTGTTTTTGCCTGATATACCTGCAAGTAAGTAAGTATTGGATTACTGTACATTAGATTAACGTCCTTTTGTACAGTAGATGAGTTGAAACCTACTTATGTGAACTATCTAATGCCAGGCCAGGGCTACGTAAATATTTTGGAGAACATTGGCAGACATTCATGTTAAAGCTATATCATTTAATTGTCTGCTGAATAAATGTACTCAGCTGAGGATGACGTCCTCTGTAATCAAAATTTCTTAGGAGCTATAAGTAAAATGGTGTGGAGGAATGGAGTAGGTGAGACTCACAAAAGGTAAGGGAAGGAGTGGAAGAAGGGGAAAGAGAAAGATGAGAAAGGAGAGAGAATACAGAGACAGAAGGATAAACACAGGAAGAACAAGAAAGGCAGCTAGAATCACTCAGAGCAGGATGTGAGGGACTCCCCCAGAAAGAAGTCCCTTACACCCTGTGATGAGAGAGCAGAGCCCAGGATCACACACAAGGGGAGGCTAACACACAACAGTACACAGATTAACTGTAAATTAGTTAGGAAAAACCAAACAAACAAACTCAAAACTTAAATAAAAACAATAATGGTTTGAAACAAATATCAACTGAAAGAAAACAGAAAGAAACATGCAAACTTTCCTAGCTTTCAAATTAACTGGCTGCTACAGACTTATCATCTAGTACATAAAAAGCATACAAAGCAGCAACTGAACCTCAACTTCCCTAGATTGTTTTTAAAAGCTTTATGCAACATATCATGGGAAATCTTCACATCTTTAGGAAGCCTGCATTATTTTTCCAGGAATAAAATGAAACCTTCCTTCTATGTGTTGTTTTTCCCCCCCGCCACTTCTCAATTTTTTCGTAAAACATTTTTAAAAAATATATCTCAAGTTTGGTGTCCCCCCCACCTTTGGCCATCATCCTTAGACTATCTAGTGAGTTCAGGGTCAAAGGGCATGTGAAAGGTCAACAGGAAAAAGGAAAGTATCTACTTACACTTCACCTGGAGAATCTGGTCACTTAGGTTAGCTCGGATGTAAAAGGTGCTGTAGCGTGGCAACACTAAGCCTAGGCTGGTGAAGGGGAGGGGGAGAAGGGGAAAAAAAGTGTTTCTAAATTGACTGTGACAGCATTTAAAATAGTTTGTCTACATCCTAGCAATTGATGATTCGAGACTCCCTCTTGTCAGGATAGCACTCTCTGAAGGTTT